AAAAAAAAATACTCGGGGGACGGGGAGATACAAAGAAGGGGAGGAGGGGGACAAGGAGGGGGAGGAAGAGAATCTGCCCTTTTCAGAATTCACTGACGARAAAAAGAACAAGAAGTTGACGAAGGAGGAGGAGGAAGAGGAGGAGGAGGAGGAGGAGGGAGGGAGGGAGGAGGAGGATCTTCCAACTTTCAAAATTATTTAAGGGAGGAGGAAGAGGAGGAGGAGGAGGAAGAGGAGGGAGGGAGGAGGAGGATCTGCCAACTTTCGAAGGAGGAGGGAGGAGGAGAGAGGAGGAGGAGAGAGGAGGAGGAGAGAGGAGTAGGAGGAGGACGAAGGAGGAGGAGGAGAGAGAGGGAGGAGCAAGATCTAACAACTTGCGAATTTCGAAACCCTAAAAAAAAAAATTGACGGAGGAGGAGGAGGGAGGGAGGAGGAGAGAGGAGGAGGAGAGAGGAGGAGGGAGTAGGAGGGAGGGAGGATGAGTAGGAGGAGGACGAAGGAGGAAGAGGAGAGAGAGGGAGGAGCAAGATCTACCAACTTGCGAAATATTTCGACGAGATAATAAAAAAAAAGTCGGAGGAGGAGGAGAGAGAGGGAGGAGCAAGATCTAACAACTTGCGAAATATTTTGCCGGAAAAAAAAAAAAGACGAAGGAGGAGGAGGAGAGAGAGGGAGGACCAAGATCTACCAACTTGCGAAATATGTTGACGAAAAAAGAAAAAAAAGACGAAGGAGGAGGAGGAGGAGGAGGGAGGGAGGAGGAGGAGGAGGAGGAGGAGGATATGCAATCTTTTGAATTTCTTTCAAGAAAAAAAAAAGTTGACGAAGGAGGAGGAGGAGGGGAGGGACAAGGAGGAGAGAGGAGGAGAGAGGAGGAGGAGGGAGTAGGAGGAGGAGGAGGATCTGCCGAGTTTCGAATTTCTTTGAGGAAAAAAAAAAAAGAGGAGGAGGAGAGAGGAGGAGCAGAGACAAGGAGGAGAGAGGAGGAGGAGAGAGGAGGAGGAGAGACGAGGAGGAGAGAGAAGGAGGAGGGACGACGAGGAGGAGGAGGAGGGAGGGAGGAGGAGGAGGAGGAGGAGGAGGAGGAAGGAGGAGGAACTCCCGACTCCAAACTACTTGATTTACCTGAGAGAGAGAGAGAGAGAGAGAGAGAGAGAGAGAGAGAGAGAGAGAGAGAGAGAGAGAGAGAGAACCAACCTGCTGCGTGCTGCTCGAAGCCCTGCTCACGTTGCCTGCCCCCGCTGCGTGCTGCTGCTGCTGGTCGACGAAGGCGATGGGGTGGGCACGTGCTGCTGCTGGTCCAAGAAGGCGATGGCGCGGCTCCACGAAGGGTCGACAGCGGGAGGGAATCCTCGACGGTGGGGTTCCACGACGGCGGGAGGGAATCCTCAACGGCCGGCTGGGGGGATAGTCCACCAACAAAATTAAAGAACCGACTTCTCCCCCCCCCAAGACTTCGAATCACGAAGAGGCTTCACAGAAGTTCAGATCAGACTGTTCAAAAAAAAAAAGAAGTACGGGCCTTCGCGCGGTCTCCAAAAAAATTTTCGCACCCGTTTTCGTAATTTTCCTCGGAACCCCCCGAACCCCGAAAACCGAACCGACAATTTCTTTTTTTTTTGGTACCCTGCAATTTCGACCATGCGCCGCGCGTCGTGCAGGCGCCGCTTGCGCGCTGCGGCCTGCGCCGTACGTGCGCAAGTGCCGCGCACGACATGCGCCGCAAGTATGGTATAGATTGTTTGAACTGGCACTTGTTATTTGCTCTTTCTCTGGTTAACATGGCCCCCCAGCCTTTGCAGTTGGATCATTTTTTCAGAAGGGAATGGTGGTGTAAGGAACAGGGTCTCTGGCAGTCCTATTATCCATGCGTTCCACACAAACACACACACACACAGTCAGTGAAGCGAATATGACAACACACACACACACACACACACACACACAGAAGGGGGGGTGGGGGGAGGAGAACAAAGAGATACAGTCCCTCCCCTCCCCCCCCCCCCCCC